AAGATTATTTTCAAGCGCAAAACCAAACAATTTTCTCTGTTTAGCAAAACTGAATTCTGAAGAGCAGTATAATGTTCAAAGATTTTTTTCTTGTAAGAGAAGTTATTAACCCTTTATATTAATAAGGAATTGAAATTGATAGAAATTGTTTTTGAATTAATTTTGTATATTTCTGTATTTGTAAAAAAAGTAAAAGAAAATGGAACGTAACTCTACTGAGCCACTTGTGTTTTATCGATAAACAGTTCCTCTCTGTTCTACAATCATATTATACTAACCATAATATTATTGTGGTTATTAATATGCAATTAGCATTATTAATAACTATAAAATCTTAATAATATTTCTTTACTATTATGGTTTCGATTCTAGTATAAAACTTCGAAAAATGCGTTGCTTGGCGATCACAATTTACCAACAAAATATGTGTAAATAGTCCGAAAAAAACTACATTTTATTTTACAATTTCCAATAATACATTTTTATAGTTAGAAAGATTATATAATTATAAAATTTTTCAGTTTCAGATTTGCATACACATTATTAAAAAAATTTGCAATAATTCGTATTAATCAAATTACTGCATATTTCGCTAGACTTCTCTTAAATTTTTATATTAATAGACATAAAGATACTTTAGTATACATAAATATTAATATTAAGCTTTTTTTTATATATGTGAAAATATCTTGAGGCTTATTAAATTTTAATTTTGATTTATACATAAAAATAAAATAAATGTTAAGATTCTGTGTAACCCAAGTCTGCCTTGTCATTCATGCCTTAATCAATTATACTTAGGCATTGCTTAATGGTTTGAAATGGGTTTCTGTGATCATTCTTCATTCAAACAGTTTGTAGAACGGCGATGAATCAATTAAGCGACTTACAACTGAATTGTACACGAAATGAAGCAAAAATCGATTTGTTACGTAGCTATTCGCATTTGTCACAGGCGTTTGCCCCTTTCGCTTCTGGGCGTGACAGTAACCCTTGAGTTTGGCCAACATTTTCGCCATATTGCCCATAATTATGATTATTTCACGGGTTTTTATCGCAACACAATTTCAATTTCAGATAGATGGAGTGCGTGTCGCATCAAGTTGTCAACTCTACAGGCGGGTGGTCAACCCTTTTGGCCCACGCACATAATGCGATAAATAAAGTCATTCAGGCCAACAACAAAAAGAGGACAAACGACGAGCGTTACAAATTGAAGTGTTGTAAAGTGAACAACGAAAAACCGAAAAGTGCAATGGAAAATAAATAGAATAAAATCGTTTAACACTCAACTCAAAAGCCAAATGACAATTTGACGAATTGAGAGAACTTTTCGACCCACCCAAAAAAAAAATAAACAAAATAAATAAAGAGGGCACATGGGGCAAGTGAAGAAAAAAGACACACAACACCCAACAGCAACAAACATTTCACCCATTTTGTGTGCTATTTGGTTTGATTTTCGTAAATGGCTTTCAACTAATTTTCAACAGACAGACGGACCGACAGTCAGACAGTCTGTCAGTCAGGTGAAGGCTTCGCATGCCCAATCAGCGAATTGATGGACAGGCATTCTGGCAGAGCTACCGTACGTCATTTATTCAGTCGAACAATCGAAAGTGTCAATTAAAAGACAGCAACAAATAGCGAATGCCAAGTGCCAGCCGCAACGCCAGTCAACGTTATTATTTTATTATATTTGATTTAAACGTTTCGAAATCGACATGTGCGAACTTTCCCTCCGGCCTGCCCATTTATCGCGTCAACCCTGCGATTTGTGGTTCCATTTCCACATTCATTTCCATTTCCATTTCAATTTCAATTGGCATTTGCGAAATATGCGTGAATTAAAACAGATGTCAGTTGTACCCCTTGGCGGTCATTGATCCCAGTTTCATAACGTGCTCTGATTAATGCCGTCTTAAGCTTAACTTCCCTAGAGAATTAGCTTAATGCTCTGCTTTCTGTTCAGGTTGATCAAAGCCCGCGAGCCAATATGAACAGGCTTCTATCATCCGAGTGCCCGAGGCATTTGTTTGTCTTATTAAATTTCTGTTTATGCAACGCCTTTAAATTAAGACTGCAATTGAATTGCAAATTGATGCGCAGCTGCTTACTATATATACTGATGTCAATGGGGAAGCCAAATAAATATTAAGTATAAAGTATATCGTATTAAAGTATAATCTCTGGAATTAGTGGGAGTAAATTCATAGAAATATAATAATGAATAATCAATTTGGCCAGTGGATTGTTGCTGCTTTGTGTTTCTTCGCAAAAGGTATTTCAAAAATTATCACTAGGTCGACTTAGGTATTGTAGAATACTTAGAACTTTTAATATATATTTTGAAATCATAAGTCTTATGATGGAAACTTCTTTTCAAATATCTTGTATTCTGCTGCTACTGAAGTTAAAATTAATTCAAGACTGCTGGGAGCATGGAGAATCCTTAACCAGTCTTAGGTCACACATTTTTAAAAAATATTTTTGCAACTAGGGTCTTGCATATTGGTGCCAAAGTGATAGACACTATATCAATCATAGTTCCAAAGTTAGAGCATTTCACGAGTTAATTTCTGTGGAGCTACTTCTGTAGGTGGAATAAAATAAATGAATATGTTTGTCTTGGCATGCGGAAATCTAGAATAATTTTAATGAAATATGATGGATCACAGTTGACCACTTCTACAAATATACATATAAATGTTATATACGAAAATAAACATTTTTGAAGCAATTTAGCTGATTTTGTTTTGTGAATGGGTTTGATGTAGTTTCACACAATTTTTATATTTATTGGGATACATTAAAATTGGAATTTTGAGCATATTCTTAAACTCTCAAATTATTTCTTTTATTAGGTAGTGCTATTACTATTACTATATATATGTTAGAACTTTATTATTTTTTGAATCTTATTAAAGTCCTGCTTACCTTTCTTATATGCATTTTTATTATTTTAGAAATTATAGCTTACCTAATACTTACATGATACGAAATCTTTTTTTTGTTGTCATATAAGCTTAAGTTAATATTTAGCTGAAAATTTAATGAAGTTACAATTTCTTCTATTATTTTTGTTTCATAACAAAATTCTAGAAGAACTTATGTCAAAACATTCGATACTTTTCCAATTACATTAATATAATTTTTATAAAAAGTTCCAACCATTATAATAAAGCACTTTAATTTGCAGACTCAATCACGCATAAAAGAAAACAAATGGAATTGTTTTTAAAATTTTTCGTTTTTATTTCAAATTTTTATTATATTTAGCACGCTTTTGTTTTAGTTGCGTTTTTATGTTGCTTTTGTTTTTGTTTTGTTTTGTTTTTCTCGTTATTTATTACCCATTTCGTTAATTGTCATGTGTTTGCTTTGTGTGCAATGTGCATCGATTTGCAGACGCATTGCTACTTAAATTTTATTTAAATAATTTAAATGTATTATTTGTGTTAGCATTAATTATAATATGTGATGCCATTGTTGAAATATGTATTCGGTTTTACTTTCTTTCATACTTGCCAACCAATTTCTACCGTTTGCAATTGGATTAATAAATGAGAGAGAAAAATAAATAAATGTTGTTTTTCTTCATTTTTTTTTTCTTTTTAAATAATTTAATACTAAATATATATATATATATTTCTTGCATTGCAATTTACATTCATACACATAATAAATGCAATTAAATTAATTTAGAAATTAAACTAGTCTACGAAATAAATTAGCGAAGCGACAGCAAATCAGAAATTCGTCTGCGAAACTTGCCACAATTTACAAGGAAAGAAGGATAAAGAAAAACATAAAAACGTTTACAAGTATTATATCCATGTTTTTTACAGTGTACACTTACGCCTGGCTTATTAATTTTTACAAAAGGTAATTTAAACTTAGTTACTAATTATTTAATTTTTTTTTGTTCGCTTTTATTATTATTTTTATTTTTATAATTTATACAAGTCTTGTAGTTAGGTTGGTGATTTCAGTTTTGAGAGTGTTCAGTGTCCAGTGTCCAGTGTTGCCGAGCTGCACTTGCATGCGGAAAGTGTGTGTTGTGTCTGTTGTTGTGGCCAGTGTTGGCAAACATGTTGTGCAATTGGAAATTTGGAAAGTTAAGAACTGTGCAGAAAGTTTTGGAAATCTTTATATATATATATTATATATATAAATATAAATGTATATATATATATATATATATATATATATGTATATATATATGTATGTATGTGTGTACTGATTAGTATATCTATATCGTTCGGGCATTGACAGCTTATATTTGTAATTAACCATTTAAATACGATTTTTAAAAATGTCTAGCTTAATGTTTAGCTCGTTTATTGCTGTTCTTGTTGTTGTTGTTAATTTGAAAACTTTTCGAAGGTGTTGCACAAACATTTTAAATACCTTTTTGTTATGTCTCTGTGTAATTGTTTTTTTTCTCATTTTTTTTCTACTATTTCAACTACTTTTTTCTGCATTTTGTATGTATTGTGTCTGTGTGCGTCTGTGTGTTTGATTTTTTTTTTCGTTTTTTGTTTTTTAAATATTATTTTAACGCCTTAGTTAATATTTTATAAAATGCGGTGTTTACATTTGTGTGTCTGTGTATGTGTATGTGTTTTCCTTTCATTATTTACTGCTTTATTTATTTTTATTTATACTTTTTTTTGTTTTCGTTTAACTACTACGAAGCAACTACGATTTTAACTTTTAGTACTTGCTGTGATAAATTGTATGCGCATTAAACTAAAAAGGAACATATACATGATTATTTATTAATTATACAATACGTTTATTATACTCGTTTATAGTTGATTTCATTTATATGCTTGTACGTATATATATAACATTATTTTTGTTTAATTCATAGTAATTTTTTATAGTCAGAGTCATTTTGTTGTCGGGTTAAATTATAATTAGCATTAAGAACTGAATATATTTTTAAGTTTTTCATTTTTTTTTTTTTTGGGTTTTGTTTTGTTTTTGCTATAAGTAAGTAGTTGAATATATATTTTTAATCACAAATCATTGATGAAAACTTCATTTTAATTGGTTTTAGGCGATGACGCTCTGCACGCTCTCTTGGTCCGTTAAATTCCGTTACAATTTTATCATCATCATCGTCATTATCATCAACGTCTCTACATAATTTTTGACGCGGCATTTTCCATCTGCTCGGTAAGCAAACAATCTATGTATCTCACGGATACCCTCTCTCTATCTCTCTCTAAATTTATACACAGAAATTTACAGTGGGGCTTTAAGTAGTTGGGGGCGGGGTTATATAGTTTAGGGCTAAGGAGTTGTAGAGGCATTTACAGTTAGTTTTGCAATTATTATTTTTGCTTTTCGATTTCTTCATTCGGAAAGGTACTAAAAATCAGTTGAACTCTATTATATATGCTAGTTACTTTCATCTCATTATATCAGTTATTACCTTCGCTTCGATTCGTTTTATAAACAATAAGTGTCGCTAAATGCTAGACCTTAAATTCGTTTTTTGTTTTTCATTTTTGTTGTTTTTTTTTTCAATGTTCTGTTCGATTGCATTTGATCTATGAGAAACTAGTGCCGTGTGTTTTTGTTCTTTAAATATTTTTTGCTTGTTTTGTAGGTTTTTAAAAATTCAGCTCGTTTTACTATCATATGCATTTTTCACTACCTTTTTACTTGCATGGTGATATATACTAGGTATACATACATATATATTTATTTACAGATTATATTCTATAAGTTGTATCATTATCATTATCATTATCATTTCGTTGGCATATATTCGACGCTACATTTTTGCTTAGATATTCGACTTTAGCTAAATTTTGTTTTCTTTTCATTTTTTTCTTTTTTGCTTTTATATCTTTTTACCATTTGCTCAGTGGGTTTAATTGTTCGACGCGTTGTGCTCTCCATATAAGGGAGGGGCGGGTTCTAACACAATTTACGGTATGATACGATAACGAGTACTTAACACTTCTCTATCATATTTTGTATTTTCTAGTTGCATGTCCGTGTAGAGTTCCAGAGCTGTGAAAAGTAAAAAAAATAAAAAAATAAAGTTTTAATTAACAAGTTATATTGTGGAAGATATTATAACTAAGCTTTTAATGAAAATATAGATTGTTAAGTAAATTATACTAAGCTATATACATTATTATTATATAATAAGATATTACTAACAAGAAGTTTATTTTAAATATTATCAATTAAAATATTAAATTAGAAGAATAGAAAAATGATTAAATTAATTATTTCTACAACTTAAAATATTTAAATATTTTTTAATAAATATTTTTATATATTTTTTTATAAATATTTTATATTTTGTAGATAAATATATAATTATTTTACAGAAAAATATATTAATATTTTAAGGATAAATATTTGTATGTATTTTCTAATTATGTTATTCTATAATTTAATGATATTTAATGAAATTTTCGTTCATCTTCAAATTTCTATTCATTAGTTTCCATATTAATTACGTCATCACAACTCACCTCAAATCCATTTAATATGGGGTTTTCATCAATGATACCACAGCCTGTTGTTTTGTGTTCTGATGACACCATTTGCTAGCGGATTTGCCGTTGCTGGTGCCGTTGCAATTCCATTTCCATTTCCGTTCGTATTGCCAGTCAATTTGGTTGCATTTGTTGTCGTTGGTTGGTTAGTCGAAGCTTCACTGTTGACAGTAGCGGAGCCAGCTTTGAGAGCTGCACTCCTGCTTAGATGCACGCCCACATCATCGGCGGGCGAGAGACCCGTTAGTGTCGGCCTCTTATAGTCGGGAGCAGAGCAGCTATTGGCATCTGTGTTGGCCACGTCGCGTGTCAGACGCAGCGCCTTCAGATGTTGCCTCTGCTGCTGCTGATGATTGTCGCGCATCGATGTGGGATTCTTGCTGTATTTGTTGTTGTGCAGCGTCAAGCTGTATTTGGGCTTGGCGGATAGAGTGTTGCCACTGCTGCTCGCGTTGCCACTGCCGCTGCTGATGCTTAGATGCTGCGGCTTCTTGGGCATTGTTGTGGAGGCGTTGCTGCGCTTAATGCCGGCTAGATCGCTGCCAGCGACGGCTGCCTCCGCTGCTGCCAACTTGAGCGAGGCTTCGAACTAGAGATTATCGGGATAGCTGCGGAAATTGTAAGTTCTGGCGCGTTGAAATTCAGCAGCTGCGGCAGCCGCAGCAGCAGCGCTGTTGCCACTGGTATACGGATTGATCATGGGCGCTGTCGACTGGGAATTCATGGTGCCCATGCCGTCGTCGTAGATGCCATTCAGCTGGTCCTGATTGCTGTGGCTGCTCTTGCCGCCGCCGCTGCTAACCGTATTCGTGTTGCTGCCGCCGCTAGCCGAGCCGCCCTTGATGGGCTTAAATATGGCCGTGGTCGCATAGTATTTCTCCATGGGCGGCGGCGGCACCGTGGGCGGCCTAGGGAATATGCTGCTCAGCGGTGGCGGCGGCGTTCTTCGCACATTCACATAGCCGCCGACGCCGGCGGCATTGGCCATTTTCGAAGCCGGCATGTAGTCCTGCATGTGGGGCACCGCATAGCCACCTTCGGGCACATCTGTTGGCGTGTGGCCGCGGGGGAGCGAACGTAAAAGACGCAAAAGGATTTCGCTTAGTCAGGCAAATGGCAAAGGTTGAAAGGTGTGTGTGTGTGTGACATGTGTGTGCGTGTGTGTGTGTGTGTGTGTGTGTGGCAATCGCCGCAAAAATTTATTTGCATTAGTTGCTGGCGGCGCCATATTTTATGGCTCGCAGCGGAAATGGGCGAGCCAAGGGAATTGGGTACCAGGTTGGGGCGGGGGCATTTGGGGGCGCTGAGGCTCTAGCCATTTGGCATACACACCTGTATAGTCTGGCGTCATATTACATTGTAAATCATTAACCGCTGCGTAACCGTTCACGCCGCTCGTATACATGTTCACATTGAAGGGCTCGTGGTAAAGGCTGTTCTTGCCAATGGAATCGTTGTCGTCGACGCTGGCCTGAAACGAAATGCGTGCGGGCAAAGGAGAGTGTTTTAATATAGTGTCAAGTTGGGGTATTTGCTGTGGATATATATATATACACATATTATTACGAGTTCGTGTGCGAGCTAATGGCATCTTTTAGCTCTTTAATGTGCCTAGACAGCTGCGCGTTTTATCAACTTGAATGCATTGCGGCTGTCTAGCTAAGCTTAGGCATTGTCCAGAGACTTTTTTGATTATTGAAAATTAAAAGAGCGAAGCTTGAGTTCAGTATAAATCACGAAACTACATCGTCTTGAACTAAATCAATATTATGAGGAGTTGCCTACGATTTCTTTAGCTAAGTTGGCTGGGAAATTCCCTACAGAGTCTACATTTCTTGAATGCACTGAAGTTTCAGCAACTTCTTCGTGCTTTAAGGAAACTGCCTTAAAGCAGTTGCTTTTAATGTCCTGCTGAACTGCTCACGCTGACAACTTTAAAGTGTTACACACTCGGCACTTAAGCTTAGCACCCACAAGTTGGCGCTGAGGAGCGGAGGGCAGTTTCTGCCGGACCCTAAGGGAAGCCGTTGAAAAGTTCTATTAAATAAAATAAATGCCGCTCGGCGTCTGGTCAAGTGTGTCCTGGCTGAGAACGTGGCAGCGCCACGCTACATTGAACAATTATGTGAAATTCGAGGCAGGAATTTGTCCTCTTTATATATATATATATATATATGTGTGTGTGTGTGTGTGTGTGCGTGTGTGTGTGTGTGTTTGGTCTCACCTTAATGCTATTGCCATTCGGACGATGCTTGTCGACATTGCCGCCCAGTGTATTCGGATTGAAGCTATATTGGAATGCATCGAGTACGTTGCTGCCGCGTGCTCGCTTCGTGCGTGACACGATGAACAGGATAATGGCGACGAGCAGTATAATTATTGTGGTTAGCACGACAATGACAACGCCAATGAAGTTCGCCTCGTTCGGCTCCTGATCGATGGGCCGCGGCGCAATTACTGCAACAACAAAAACAAAACAGAGAAGCGTTAAGAGAAAGGTGAGTCAACAGAAGACCCAAATGCAAAGTGCAACAAATTGAATTGCAGTGAAATGAAAAGTAAATATTGTTCTGCTAAAATAATTAGCAGTGAGGCCGAGCGAAATGGAAAAAAGGCAAAATTGCTAATTGAATTTATCAGGCGAAATTGTTGCTTACGTTGTGGGCCGTTGTTGTAGTTGTTGTTGTTGCTGCTGCTGCCGGTGGCATCGGTGGCGCCGCCGTTTGTGTCGCCGCCAGAGTTGCCGCCATTCATTTTATTCTTGCCATGCTGATTGTGCTGATAGTCGTTGCTCTGCAAAGGATATTCGCGTGTATCCGGCGCGGTGCCCGGCGCATTATTGCGCTGCTCCTGTTCGTCTGTGAAATTTCCCATAGCGGGCACTGCAAGAGAAAGAGAGAGAGAGAGAGAGAGAGAGTGAGTGAGAGCGGAATACAGTTATATAAAGTGCCATTTGTGGCATGAATCTTCAGCTTCATCTTCAAAAGTTGCCGCCTCGATTTGAACATTGCGCACAGCTGCGCTTTCATGATTAGTTTTTTCTTCTTCTTTTTCGTTTTCTTCTTCTTCTGTCGCTCTTCATTGCCCTACACCTTTCGTTCCACTTTAAATTGTTTTGCTTTCGCTACGCTTTTCTTTCGAGACCTCTAACGTGTTCATTTCCTGTCAGACCTTTAGGGTTTTTTACGTTTCTCGTCTCGTCTCGAGCATTACTAAATTTTTACAGATGTTTGATTTGAACAGCACTCAGACGCGTGTCTTATGAATATGCATGGAGTTTTTTATATTTTAATGATCTGGTGCACATGGCGAGACCATATATGTTCTGGACAATACTTATAACAGTTTTTCTACCTACAAAAGTGTCGAAAATTTACTGTGTTACCCATATATTATGTGCTGTAGTTTTGTTGTTCAGTTTTGCTGTTCTTAACTTTCTCTTTAAGTCCAGTGACTATCTATAAGAGTAGAGCTGTTGCGGCACCCTTATAGCTTGAGTTACAATAGGCTTATAATGCTAGTGTGCATGTTTTGTCTATGGCTTAGCAGCTTGTCTCTGTGCCGTAGAATATTATGATTTCTATATGACTGTTTCCACCCTTAGGTGAGTTCTGCTTGGGGCTTAGCAATCTGAGAATATAAACATTTCCATGCTGACCTTATTCCCAGGGCTATTCCGCTTATTAGCTTAGATCCGTCAGGCTGCAGGCTGCAGGCTGCAGGCCGTGCAATGCCAAACACCTGCTTGTCAGGCCGTTCACTTTGATCTCTAATAACCACCGCCGGCCCCACCCAGCAGCTAGAGCATATGGCTCAGCGCTGCAAAGTGTTGTCATTTATCTTCGCTCAACATCTTGAGGGCATTACGAAACAAAGAAGTAACGAACGCAAGGCGGCTCCCGGGGGCAGCTTTTTGCACCGAGCCCAGTCTCCAAAGACGACGCCCCCGGGCAGCCGAAAAATGCCTTCTTGAGTGGGTGACCCCGTTTCTACAGACAGTAAATGGCGTAATTACTGTGAGAAGTTGTTGTTGTGCTTGCTGCTGCCGCTGTTTTGAGTTATGTCGCCTTCTTGGACAGCAGCAGCCGGAAGGACACGCAGGACACACGAAGCACGGCCAGGCATGCCTCTGAAGCTTGTGCTTGGCTGCCTTTTGTTTCGCCAATGCCATTGTCCTTGCTGTTGTTATTTAATATTTTCTTTTTTCTCCTTTCTGTTTGCTACTCACTTCCTACTTATAAAGGCATATCTTGCATCTCTCGGCTGTCGGCCGTCGGCCGTCGGCTGTCGGCTGTCGGCTCTCTGTGGTCGTCATAAAACGTTTAAAATAATTAAAATATTTTGAGCCACATTTATCACACACTGTGCCAGGGTTAGCTTGTAGCCTGAATGTAATGGCAAATATGCCGCATATCCTTTTTTATTTTCGCATTTACTTTGCTCTTGTTGTTGTTTTTTGGCTGCTGTCGCATGCCCTTTTATAACTAATTCTCTTTGTGTGTGTTCTTGTGTGTCCCCAGGGTCTCTATTCACTCATTGTTTTTTGGCCTTTGTATTTTTAGAAACCTTTAAATACAACTCCATAAAGAACAACAACAACGAGAGCAGCCGCAGCAGCAGCAGCAGCAATCACCGCAAGCAAATCTCACAAATTGGGGTTAAATCTCTGCAGTGCCTGATAAAAATATACGCACACACTTGAAAGATGCTGCTCCTACCCCCGCCCACCCTCTCTCTCTCCACTGCTCTCTTTGTCCGTACGTGCGTTTCTTTTGTTTACCCTTACCCTAGTTTTTCCAGCCAAAAAAAGTTTTTGCACCAAAAAAAAAACAACAACAACAATGAAGAGTGAAAAAAAAAACAAAAATAAGAACCAGCTAACAGCTGGTTGCTTGTTGCTGCTGTGGCTGTGGCTGCCCCCCATCGCCCTGACCCAAGCCCCCCTCTGCCCCTGCCATCTTGTGCGTGACAAATGCGTCGTGGTGCTTGTTACTCGTCATGTAATTGCTGCCAGAGCAGCGCAGCATGTGGTGCAACCGAGTTTTGGTCTGAGCTCTGCCTAACGCTTTGTGGTTTTTGCGCTCTCGAATATCCTTGAATCAGCGAAACAGTTGCTGAGACATTGAGCACCACCCAATTGAATGCTTTTCCTATTATCCGCAAAAAGTGCATTGCAATGCTCGCTAAAGCCCTTCAGCTAAACACTGATCGACTACCGATCTTTTGCGTGTCACAGCCATGCCTCATGCAATTCTACAGAACTGTAATGATTGACAGAAGGAACATGTTCAACATGATTATGATGTTCGATGACAATGCAAGATTTGTGTCTCATTGAATCAGGTAAAATTGATTGTTAGCTCGGATGAAGCAAAGGAAAGAAGTAGCTGAAGTAATAATTGAATTTATATGTCGTCTCTATAAAACATGTTCAATCGTTGTCGGTTAGATTACAAGAGTTAAAGATAACCTATTTGCTGTATTGGGTCTCATACTCAAACTTTACAATGCTGTGCCGAATTGATGGGCAACTAATCGATAAATATCGATAGGTATACATTTTTCAAATATTTTTTTACGACGTAAACAATTTTATGAACTTATTTCAGCATTGCGAATCATGTTCAATTAGCAAAATAAATTATTTTGAGCACACTATAAAAATCTACTTAACAAAATTAATTTCTTGGAACTTATGAAATGATGTGAACTTATAAATGATGTGAATTTCTATATTTAAAATGATTTATACATTTCAAATCCTTATTTTCCTATGCTCTGAAACCATTAACATTGTGTAATTCTACCTATAAAATAACTTTTTTAACTATTAAGTTTCCATACTGAAGCTCTCACTGCACTTCAAGCGCAGCCTTTGTAAAACGTGGGTAGAAGGAGAGAAGTGCCTCTGTGTGTGCTTGTGTATGTACATATGGTATTTGCTATGTATGTATATAAAAAAGCAGGGTTCAGGGTATTTCCTAGTCCGGCACCTCCGAAACTTATAACAAAATCTTTTTATAATGTTTGATTTTAATTCACTTTAAGCTCTTCAAAACGTCGTCATTTTGTATTTATTCATAGGATTCTTCTTATATATACTTTAATACAATAACATTTGATTTATTTGCAATCATTTCTTAAGTTCTTATTGCGTTTAGCCTCACTACCCAGTTTGATCCTGACAATACCTTCATAAATTGATCAAGGAACAGCTTGCATTTCTTTCTTTATGTGCATTTTCTTTATGTAGAAGACTTTTGTTTCCCTAAAACTTTCTGCCTGTTTATGCACTGCAAGCAAACGCATTTTATATTGAACTATAAAATCTCAGTTAGGGTTTATTGGCGACTTCCTTCATAAATCCATTAAGCCTACAACGCAGCTCGGTCTGCGCGCGCCGCCATCTGTGGAAAATCCCCTATTGATGCGGCACGCTCTATTTGACTCATCAATCAAATGCCGTTGGCAGACTGACTGGGTTTCGATACCCTACTCATTTTCACACCTACCGCGCATGGATTTTCCTTCGGCAACCTCCCCTCTACAGTGAATCAATGAATATAAATGATCTGCTCGGTTCAGTGACCGATCCTGCGATGTTAACAGCATTGTTGCCCATGAACAATTTGTGCCCGACCCCTCGGCAAATGCGCCATGAAAATATTGTCTAAATATCTGTCGAGGGAGGGATGGGGTAGGAGGTAGCCTAAATCTTTGTCCAAGCATCCTTGCACTTGGTACAATTTAATCAGTACGGGGACACGCTCGGCATTCATAGGAAATGTAGCCGAAAAATGCCATGCATGCATCCCGTCAGTCCCTGCATTGTTGTTTAGGGGGTTGCAGCTACCCCTAAGCTCGACCTGCTGCTTGTTTACTTTTGCATGCGGAGGGACCAGCGTTAGCTCGTCGGAGACCCTTCATTCCGTTTCATGGACTTTGGGTATTTTATTGACTTTAGCCTCCCCACACGAGTTGCCCGAACAAAAAGCAGAAAAAAACACGAAAATTGTCCTAAAGAGATTTTCCCTTTTCGGGCCGCTTATCTCGCCTGCCTCTCCATCTCTGTCGCATTGTTGTTAGCCAAATGTTGGAAAATGTGTTTTGTACTCCCTTTTTGCTCTGCTGGGCCCGAGCCCGGGCAGTTTTTTATCCGGCCAGGCTAAGTGTAATGCATTGCACTTTGTAGCAGTTGCCGTCGCTGTCGCACACTCGAAAATGAAATGAAGCTGAAAAATGCATTTGCACTCGCGTATGCAGTTTTTTCCACTCTACATAGTATGCCAAATGCAATTTTCGGGCAATTTGCGCAGCAATTTTCCGACTTTTTTCTACCTTTTTCATTTGCCGATGCTTAGTCACGTACTTACCGGATATAAAACTGATCTCGGAGAGCATAATCCATTTGACAGCAAAGTACAAATTTATTTTCAGATATTTGCCCACACGATGATGCAGCTTAATCGTAACATCTCGGGCATGATCCATTATGGTATCTGGCATATATGAGAACTGTACGGGCTCGCCAGAGAAGTAGCGTCCACCAATGCTAAAGAAGACTTTAGCATGCACGAAAACCTAAAAGAAGATGAAGAATGGAGGGATTAATAAAGAAGTGAAGAAAGAAGAAGAAACTAATGAAACCAATTCATGAAGAAGCTCAACAAATATTTAAATAGATTAAATAGATTTACTTTGGCTAATATAAATTCAAGTATCAAAAATAATGGCAATTATATCATAAAGATTTGGTTAAATAATAAAAACTTATTCACTCTTTTGATAGACTATGCGTCCTAGTAGCAAAAATACTTTGAAAAGCAGATATAATTATAAAACTAAAACAAATCCTGCTCAACTTGTCATACTTGCCAAACATCAATAATATAGTTTAATAATGCCCTCGAGCTCAAATTGGCTTCGATAAATCATACGTGTTAGGGCCTTCTTTCTCTCTCACTCACCTGCACATCCTTGGTATACATATTGTTCGTATGCAAAACGATGGCGCTGAAATTGCGCACCGTGTCGAATTCGAAAACAATTTCAACGGGTTTACCCAGCAGACCGGGCGTATCATTTCTCCAGCCAATCCATTCGTAGCCTGAAAGAATATCAAAGAAAAAACAAAGCAATAAAATATCATATATGAAAGTATATTTCAATGAAATGTATCATCATTTTGCTGCCCAAAAAGAGAAAAAAAAATAATCAATAGGCCCACCCGGCGAAGCATATGCTTCGGAGTGGCATGTAAAGCTATTTAAGCCAACCAAGTCAATCGCACTTTGGGGTGAAATTTTTGTAGCCAAAAAAAAAAAATAAATAAAACAAACAAATGCGCACGGTAAAGCCCCACATGGGGGATGAAGCCAGGGGGAGCCTCATAACTAGAAATTATGGCCAACGCGACATTTAAGCCATTTCTTTCCACTCGTTTTGTTCGCATGGCCCTAATTTGCCACCACAGGAGAAGGTTACGTGCGCGGCTTAGTTGCCCCAGGAAGCATTTGCGTCACGTTGCAGAAGTCATGCAATATTAACTGCAACAGACGACTCCGCTAACAAGCCCTGAAATTATACAATTTCCATGTTTCAATACAGAAGCTCGTCCACATATCGATGCCAGGACATCATAATCATATTGAAAATTACCATTCAATAGTCAGCGATGAATAATAAAGGTCTGGCAAAATAATGCGCTAAAAACTTTTACACTAGATACGATTCGATATGTGTGTATGTATGTGTGTGTGTGTGTGCGTCTCTGTCGCGCCGACGACGACGACTGCATGTCTAATTGTCTGTGCGAACTTTTCTACTTAAATTCGCACAGCGCAAAGTTTTCAATAATTTCGATTATTGGCCATTTGCCAAAGCGCTAGCCAAATGGCAAAATAAAGCAAGTGTAGCGGCTATGACAGACTGCACAATACTCGCTCGCTCAACCAGAACGGAAGAGTGAGACTTAAAGTGAGACTTTGGATTATTCTAGCTCGTCTACCAACGCGTATGCCCGACTATGTAGCTCAAATCTGGTTTATGGAACTACTACAATATAATATAAATATGATTATATATATACTATAGAACAGCTACAAAGCTACAGGTGAGTATGCTCAGGTACATAAGCCATGGTTTGCCTGTAGAGCGTCTTTTAACTTAGCTGAGTTCAGCTTCATCTTAGATCAGCTATGCATAGCTAAGTCTAAGTCTACCTGAATTTCTAGTCTATAAAGTTAGCCACACTAACTCACAGCCAATATACTCCAAATAAATAGTAAAATATTGAGAATGAGAGTGAGAGAGAAAGAAGAAACGAGACTTGTGAAAATTCGCAGTTTGGCAGTTGCGAAGTTTTGCAGCAGCCGCCGCCGGCAGCTCGGAAATGAATGCCAGTGTTGCCATAAATTATCAAATATGCATAATGTTTACATTTTTACAGGCGCATAGTTCACAGGGTGGCTCAGTTCGGTTCGGTTCGCTTCGGTTGGATTGAGTGCGTTTCTGTATCCGGCCAAGTTTTGCTGCGACGCCAGCAAATAGTCCATAGTTATTATTATTTATTTTTGTTTATTGTGTTGTGAGGCAAATTATTTGCCAGCAAAAACTTTTGCCTGGCCGCGGCTCGGCCACGCCCTTGAACATGAGCCGCACGCCCCCCCTTTCGGGCCCCAGACGATGTTCAATGAAGTGAACTTTCAGCTTGGTCGCCCTGTTTTGGAATTTGCCTTATGCTTTTTCTGTCGGTGAACTTTTGTAATTATTTGATGTTAATCAGTTTTTTTCTATTGCAATAAATCTTTGACTGTGTGTGAGTGTGTGGGCGAACGATTTCAGCAACTGAAAACAGCCAAATTTTCGGGCTAAATATATGGAGAAAGTTTGCACTGTGTTTTTATAGAAGGCGAACCTTTGAAAATATAAAAAAAACCAACCAACTTTTAGCCATTGCAAGTTTTGCTAAATACACAAAGGCTTAACTTTTTATTTGGTGTGTTTTAATGAGCGAGGTTAGTCTAAGTGAAATATTGGATTATTTATGTTTCAGATATAGATTAATGCATAGGGAATATATCTAACTAAATTTATAAAGAGAATTCTGCAGAGTCTAATGTGCAATAAGATGCTAAGTGAAAGAGTTTATTTCATATTTGTGGAAGTTTAGTTGAGAATTATTTAGTTTCGGCAAGGCAAATGCAATTTACTTAGTTAAATATCGAAATTGGTTTATGGTTGCTTGATTTAATTAATTAAATAATTTTATACATTTATACTAAATTTATAGTCTAAGTTTTTCGTGTCTAATATAGAGATAAGGACTTTATATCAATATAACTAGCTAGACTTGAGTGCAAAATTCCGTTGACTACAATATGTGGAAAGAGACTCAAATATTATTGTGTTTATTATTTAAAAGCCGAAAGTCAATGCAGATTCTTTGCTACGATTCTTCTGAAATTTTCCAAAAATCTTACTACATTTTGAATTATTTTTCTAAACTAAAATTTGTGGTCTACTTTAATTCGAATGACGATTGAGATTAGACTCATATAATGCCATATCACGTATTTGTATATAAATAAAATGATATAAAAATATATTTTAGATATACCCATTTACATAGCCAAATTGACTTACCTTTGCCAAAGCCGTGTATATCCGTGCGGAAATTGTCCTTGCCCTTCTGTCCGTCCACCAATTGACCCAAGCCGTCGACATAGCGATCGCCTTGCTCGTTGCCATCGTAGGTCTTGTCCGAAAGATCCACTTCCATGCCACGCTGCACGCCTTTGGGTATGCTATACGAAACAATGCCCTCTGCAAGGAATAAATAAAAAGGAAATTAAATAAAGAGACGCAATTCGTGGAACCAAAAACTTTGAAAACCTTTCAAAGGTAACTCGAGACGCCCACACGTGCATTGAGAATATATATAACATATATTTTTAGATATACGTATTAGTTCGTTTCGTTTCACATCACGTCATGTCACGTCACGACTCGTCACGTTTCGTGTCACGTGACACAGACAAACGAGCGACAAACAAAGCCTCGAATTTCTGTATTTGTGTTGGGTTTTTAAACTGCGGTAAATTTTAAAGTTTTTCCCCCGGTGCAAAGCTGGCAACAACTTTTTCCAGCCTGCTTAGGGGTGCACAACGGGGGAGGGGTTGTGGGTGTGGGGCAGCGGATATTGAGTTACTTGAAACATAATTTCGTTTTGCGGCCACTTTTGTCTTTTGTCTGCCATTTGGTTTCTGCGGTTATTTTTAGCCAAGAGCGGATGGGGGAAGTTTACAGTTTCTGAATTGGGGACTCGAATGTAGGAGGTGTGTGTATTTGGCTATAGTTTTTCAATGTCAAAGTCACAGTGGCTGACACACAACAAAGAGAACTGAGTCATGGCTTCTGTGGTGCAGTTTATAAAGTGGTTTGATGTTTGCTCAAGGATTGTTACAGCTTAAATACAGCAAAAAAGGGAAAATAACACGTGTTGGTTAAGGGCTTAAACAACAAACAACACCTGACGCTAATTACCTAGAGATAAGTATGTACGTTCCACGGCTACAAAACAATTACATTTGTATCGAAAAAACAGGAACAAGAACAACAAGAGTTCGGGTTGCCAGGGCACTCAGAATAATTACACACAAAGCTCAAACAGGCTGGCCAGGGTACGGTAGGGTAGGGAACAGCCTGGCCTAGCCTGGCTAGGCTAATTTACTAGCACTTATATTTACACAGCTGGGCTCGTGGCACACAGGACAAAACACAGTCAAAGGCGTTTTCCAATAATTACCAAAAATCACATAATTATACATAATTACGAAGCAGAAAGCACGAATCGAACTTGGTCAGACAATTGAGTATGGCAACTATGTAAATATGTCTTGGCTGAAGCACTGAGGGTAGCTTCATATTAATTATTATTTAATTTATTTATAATGTGTGGGCAGTTAAACAACAGCAGCAAGGGATATAGGAGAAACGCCACACTTAATTACAGAAATTAGGGCAAAGTCCTTGTCGCGGCCACTAAAGCACAGCGAGCGAGAGATAAGCCTTCATTAAACAAGTACACGACACATCCACACACACACACACACACACACACATATATATATATATATATAGTGTATATAGTATATAAATGGCATATGGGTTATTTAATTAACTGCAAAGACATTTAAGGCAGCGCGTTTTACAATTGCGTCGCGACATCTTTCACGCAATGCCCACATGTAATCGCCCTCTTCGGCTGGAGGATGAGGTTGGGGCAACATCCACTTTAGCCCTGTTATTCGCGTGCTCACATGCGATTTTTATTTGCGTGTCGAGTGAGCGAGAGACAAGATGAAAACTGCCAAAAAAAAAAACAAAAAGGAAAGGAACAAAACGTAGTCCTCGCAGTGCGTGCAACGGCCCCAAAAACTGTAGGTGGAGAAAACAAGCCGAAATCGGGCAACTACAATACACACTACACACACACATATATATAGATATATATATATATATAAATTTATATGGAATGTAATTTGCTTCCCTTTTGCTGGGCGTCACGCAAACGATGTCTGCGAACTTTTGCTGATGAGTCAAATTGAGCAGCAGTTGAATGAATAAATGAATAAATAGATACTTAGCTGCTTGGCGGAACAGTCAACTTGCGGCTAAACTACAACATTTTCGGTCTGAACCATGGCTGAAATTGTTTTTTTCTGGGTTAGCAGATAAGCAAAAAGTTATCAAAACTGGACTAGAACTGGGGATGTCTTAGTGAACCGGAAAGATACGCAAAGGCCAAGTTAAACTCATCTTTCTTTGTAGTTTGGCTATGTTACATCAAGCGAAAGTTATCAAATGCAATTGGCACAGAAATATAGAAGTTATAGAATACAGATTGGACTCTGATTATGTATAACTGCCAATTTCAGAAGTGCTTTATATATATGAAATTTTATACAATTAAAAAGTTTAGTACAAGCTGGCACAATAAGAGTAATATAATTTATAAAAACTATAATAAATCATTTACTTAAGTTATAGATAATACGAAGCTGTTCAAATATAAAGCAAGCCTTGCCATTTATTTGTGAATCATCTTAAGCTCAAGTGTGTCGAAATTAATTAAAAACTGTAACAAAATGACGACTGCTGCCATGCAATGCAGGCAGTTGAAATGTTAAAATTTGGTGAATGAGTCAGCTCAGCACTGTGGTTAATCAATTGAACACGATGACTATATGGACTGAGGCAATGTCAAGTCTTCGAAAACTTTGGAAGAGCATGACCATAGCATTAAAGGCAATGTTGCTGTAATTACAACGCATACATTGAGCCAAGTTATTTCATAAAACTTGAAGCACTGCCAGCTATGCCTTGGCGAATGTTATTCCATACATAATGCCATAAATTTAACTTTAATACAAAATAAGAAAAAACTTAATTTTTAAACTAAATTAATTAAATTTTAAATAAATTTCCCACTGCTCATTTTAGTAAGGAGTCCCACATCCTGATCAGCAGCTGAGCCTGTTCAGCGCTCACAACGCACTGGATTTCATTTATAAGCCACACTAGCTGATTACAAAGCTAGTTAATAGCCGTTTTAGCATGTTATTCGATTTAATCTTCGATTTAAATGCCAACCTACACTCATTTCTCATTTCTCATTTCGTTTTCCACACAACTATTTCACACTCTTAACCAAAGCAGCTGCCACAGTAAGCGCACCTACACAAAGACCATCGATTAAAGCTCAACTTTCAATTTACATAATGCACAACAACAACAAAAATCTTTAGCTAAAACGCTCATAAATTATGCAGCACTCATAAATCTAGAGCTCAACGCTAATCAGTTTGGTGCATTTATAATAAAAAATACAAAATACAAAATAAAAAAAAAAATAAAATGCACTTTAGCATAGTGGATAAAACGCTAAGCCGAAAGGGCTAAGCTTTTGTTAAATCGAAACAAATTTGTATTTAGCTCGATGTGAAATCAGAGTGTGTCACTTGCCCCGAAGATAATCTGCAGCCATGACGTGACCATAGTTTGCCCCGCCATCTGCCCCATTTGTTGATGCCGGCGCTTCCAGAGCGAGAGGAAAGACAGAAAACCTGGGTGCGGCCGCTGCCCGTGTAGGTGTGTCCATTGATTTGCATTTAAAGGCTGAGCATTGGCAGTCGAGTGCCAGAATTTATAGCCACAATTTATAAACAATTATGATTTCGAACTAAATGTCTATCGAGCGCGATAAAAGTCCAGCAGAGTTTTGTCAATGCGCTCGTTACTTGGCAGCTTTATTGATTTCCTTGTCTGGCACTTGTCTAGACCTCCCATAGCCCACGACAACTTATCTCATTTAATTTGCATATGAAATGTGCTGCGCTGTGTACATCTAAATTCCCCATAGCAAATCAGAATGACATGACCGGCCCCATTTGGGGGGCGGTCAGCTTGCATGTCCGTGCGGCAGACCCGAGCCCAGCTCCCTAATTCCTTGGTAGCCATGGAACGCAACCACTAAAGGGCGTGTGCATAGTTCTGACCCCAACACAAATGGCGCCAGTTATCGGGCGGCCCCCCCTCAAACTCCAGGCGCACATTGCGTTAATTTACGGAATAATTTCGACTTCCGCGCTTCGGCTTAATGCCGCTTGTTCCCCCCAGAGGATAGCCCAAAAGCCAACCTGGTTCTGGTCAAACAAATTGACATTAGGCGCGCGTTGTTGTTGCTATCGTCGACTACCTGGAAATTATAGAAAAATTTGTTTGTCCAGACTAGTTATAGTTGTTGTTGCTGCTCGTGCACTACTTGACAATTGCGTGCAAACATCGACAACAGTCAGCCAGACGACAGCAACAGCAACAACAACGAGAACAACTCGCGCTGGTTGTTTGCTGTTTTGGCTTGTCGTCTGCATAGTTTCTCAGCCCGTCTGGATTTCGATTTGGTTTCGGTTTCTGGCATGGGCACAGCCAATGTCTGCACGCGATATTTCTTCTTCAGCTCTTCCTACTTGGTTTTTTTTTCAAGTACATTTCGCATGTTGCAACCAAGAGAACAACGGCAACAAATCAACATTGCGTGGTAGCTCATGTGTTGGCCAAATGTAAAGCAGCCCGAAGGTCTCGAAAGGTGAAGGAAAAAGAGAAAAACACAGGCGCAGTCGTTGCCTTGATTGGATTATGCGCTTTGACTAATACGCTGACCATAATGTCATGTTTTCCTTCAACTAAACAACTGCGATAGGGTTTTAAGACAGAGAGAGAGAGAGGCAGTTGGAGAGAGTGGGGGAATTCACAATTATGGCATTCCGTTTAGGGGCGATAACTTGACGAATTACTGCCATTTCCAGCTAAGTAAAACTTAAGTGTATGCAAAGGCTTAGGCTTAAGAATTGACTTGATATAAGTATAAATGTGAACTTTGGCAACAAACAGAAAATCTGCTTTGCTAGCTAAATGACTTAAGCCCATAGCCAAGAGCAGGCCAAGCCTTATAAGCAAAAATGTTCGCATAGTTTGTTGCCATGGTATGGCGCATCTTAAGTCTTGCTAAAGCTATGCTAATGCACACACACACTCTATGCTAACTACACACTTAAGCCGCTTTGGCTGGCCTAATAGACAGCGACTAGGCTGGGGCCCTGGGCACTCCTTGTGAGGCGGCATTGCAGCGATGATAAATTAACGCTGACACTAAAACTCTGTTAGCCTTTCCGCGCTATCATTGCTCATGTCGACTTTTTATCGCACTCGTTTAAATTCGCCTCTGGACAGCAGCAGCAGCAGCAGAAGCAGAAGAAGGAGACTTACCTTCCCATGGACAGCCGACGATCTCGGCGCGCAGGCAGACGGTGCGATCGTATTGACCATATGGATATATGCGTATCTTGGAGGCGAATATAATTGGCTGTAGAGCGTTCTCCACCTCGCTGTACGTATTGATGTTGCCCGGCAATATCTGTGCAAATGAATGAATGGAATGGGTTGGATTGGGCTGAGATTAAGCTCGAAGTCATTGGAAAGACTGAGGTCTTACCTCCTTGCCCTGTGTGTTCTTCCAGCGCTGCCATTTGTCGAAGCCCGGGCGCCAATACTCGAGCACATAGGCCTCGGTGTACTCCTGACCCTGACCTTTGCCGAAGCGACCCTGCGTCCGTATGGCGGTTATCACGTGCGTCTGCAGCAAGTCCACCTGCAGATATTCCTTGAGCGCATTGGATACCATGTGCTTGGGGCACCAGGCACCGCCATTATTATCGGTTTTCAGTCTGCAAGAAGAAAAGAGTAAACAACTTTATTAATTAGCCGCGTGCAAAACGGTAGCTGCGCGAGCAACCAGTTGCGCAGGAGTTACGCCTGGAAAATTTTTATAAATTAATTGACATTAAGCGTTCGGCACCACACGGCGTTGGTGCCTCACGGGCCGCCGGCCGTAGTCAAAGCCAGCTACACAGCTACACACAGTCTTAGCCACTGACGTTTGTGGCCCCAAAGGAGGGGCCCCCAGGCCACAACTGGAGCTGAAGTTGTAGCCTGGCGAATGCCATGGTGGACGTTTGTCTGGCAGCTCGTCTCGTTCGTTAAGCTGTTGCGGTTTTCGACGCAGCAGGATGTTGTCTATGTAATTAAGGATTAATTTAAGTTAGACACAGACGCCGGGACGGCACTCAGTGTGTGTGTGTCTCTGGCAGCCTCTCTGCTGCCGCCGCCCTCATGCCACTTTAATCAATTTCGCCTTCAGCCTCGCTCAGCCTGGTATTGATATGTTAACCACTACAAATACGTTTTTCGGTTTATATTTCAATTAAGTTTTACATGCTTGATTGCATTTTGGGGCCTTAATGTTTGCCCATTATTCATCGACTGTGACTAGGCCTAGACCCCTCTGCTTGACTCCAGCCAGCATCTGCTGCTAGCTGCTGCTGCTGTTGTTGTTGTTCTTGTTGTTGTCTTTCGCAAATTGCTTCATTTTCTTGCCAGCTGCTGGCTGTACCTGTGCCAGCAGGTTATTGAATTTGATTGCAATATTTATTTAGTGGCCGACATGCGTTTAATGCATTTTTGCAATTTGTTATTTATATATTTATGTGTGTGCGTGTGGCGTGTGGCGTGTGTGTGCAGCGACTGCAATTAGTAATATCTTCCGCATCAATTGAGAGGCTTAGGCAATTTTGTGTGTTGCTGTAGCCATCAAGTGGTCCTTTTGAATGTTAATTAAGGTCCAGAAGGGACTCTACTGACGGACCACCTAAAGATAGTTTTGAAGTTTTGCTTAGCAGAATTTGTATCATTTTATGTCAGCTAAATAAGCGAAGGTTTCCCAATGAAATTCTCATTTATAAAAAATCTATTTAATTATATAATTTTATTATTTAAGCAACAATCTTAATGAGCTGGCAATGTTTCATTTTATGCATGTACTTTTAATATATTAACTGTAATGAGATGATTGTCTGTAGGGAAATGCGAAAGCAGTAGCAGGCCATGGCCATGATATGGAAAATCAATTGAAGCAGTTGGAGGACCACTACGCTCAGCTCAACGCTTCCACTGGCCAGATCCAATAAATCTCCACACTTTATAAGACCACACATACAACTGCATATACGTTCCTTATATCAAATCTCTAACTACAAAAGTTATTTTGCTCTCATACAGACAGACACTGGCCAAAAACCAATATACTCTTCTCGCTTAATGAACGAGTATATTCAGAGCCGTTACAAATGCCTTAAATGCTTCATTGCATAATATTCTCTTGCCCGCAAGCACTGTGTGTGGCTTATAACACTTCCCGGCCATTACCGACTGCAATTACTTTCAAGTGCAGAGATCAAAGTTGCTTTATTAAAAAAAAAAAGGAGCGAAAAAAACTGAAAGAGCTCCCACAGCTGGGCGTGCAAAAAAGTACAGAAAAAGGTCAATTTAATCATCATAAAATTGCTTAGATTTTCTCTCAACCGCCTCCTCGCTGGGGCAGTAGCTCTTGCGCAAATAACCCAAAGGCAGAGCGGAGCAGAGCAGAGAGCAAATCGGAGTGAAATACGTATAAACATCATTTAAAATGCTAATATCCGCAGTTATGTGCATTTCAACTTGACTTTAATTATTGTTATTGCCAAAGTTAACAATCTGCGCCGTCGTCGGCTGCTCATTTCGAGCGGCTGATGGACTGACTAACTGCTGCCTGCCGGGCACTGGACTCGACTCGGACTTGGACTGGCTTTGGCTTCTAATCAAGCGCCTTTTGCTCTCTATCTCTGTCTCTCTCTTTCTCTCTCTCTCATTCCTTTTGGCTGTATGTTTTTTTCTTTAATATGTAAGAGGTTGTAAATTTAATGGCCCGACGGCCGCTGGTCGCTGGGCGAGGTAATGAAAATCAAACAGCGCCAACTGTCATTAAACTAATCTTTGTAATTCAATAGCTACAGACGACCGACCAACATGGACAACGTCAACCTCAACGTCAACTGCATCAGCGTTCATGTTCGCATCCTGTTAGCCCTGCGGCCGCTTAGGGCTCAGATCTCACAGATCTTGGGGCCTTGGGCGGGCGCTGCCGCCGCCGCTCAGTAAGCAAATGCGCGTGATTTGTTTTAAGTGCACGGTTTTTTCTTCTTCTTCTCCTTTTTGTAATGAATTACTTTAAGTTCGTTGCGAGCTGGGGCTTTTGGGCTAGTTAGCTGCCTGGTTAGCTAAGTGCACGGCAGCCACAAATTATAATGCTGCCTGCACTTTTGAACTTTGCAGCATGGCTCTGGAACTTTAGTTAAGCAAATTGCACTGCGCTTGATTGGACTTACTGGGTGGCAAGAGAGAGGGAGGAGGGGAGGGAGAGAGGGAGGCAAACAACACGGAAGAAAAAGACAAAAGAAAGTTTCAGCTAGTTTGAAGAGTTGATTTCGCTATGCAGCAGTCATTGGGTTAAACTAACTCGAATTGGTTAAGGTGAAAGGCTGCCAGCGAGTAGGGCTTTACCAAGAATATTTCACAAAAATTTAAGAATGTGCAAATACGTGAAAAAATCATGGAAAAAGTCTTTCAATTTGAGTTAGAGAGTGAAATGATTTTTGCAAAATATTATTCAGTGGAGAAGGAGTTTGACTCTTAGAGAAGTTTATAGTTGTACTAAGCCTTGGTGGAGTGAATAAAAATATATTGCATAAAGACTTCTCACGCAGAGCACTACTATTTCTATGAACAGCCGATTGCAGCTTTATAAAATCTTTAAAAACAAAATAATTCTAACTTGATTTTGTTATAATTCTCTTCTTTGTATTGTATTCTAAGCAAAAAGTAGGAATATTTCTATTTTTTAAAGGAAATAATAGCTCAGCAGTTGGTTTATATTTTCTGTAGTTCAGCACTTCTATTTTTAAGAACACAACTGTTAAGCAAACTATTTAAATCTACATAAATTATAAATAAAATGTGGCTTAAGCAATGTAGTTCAAACCTACATAAATCAAGTCTCAACAAATCAAAAACTTCAAAGAACAAAACAAATCAAAAACCTCAAACAAATTTCATACTTAAAATTGTGGTAAATCTCTTTGGAGATAACTCGCCAGGAGTAGCATAATAAATACATTGCTTCAGTTGGCATTAAATTTCGAGTCACTTAGCTGCACCACATTGCGCTGTCAATCCGACGAGCACCAGCAGAAACCACCAGGCACGACCACTCAGGTGAGTCAGTCGGCTGCCATTGGCCAACAGCTAAAAGCCCGCAGAGTTGGACAACAACAAAAAGCAGAAGAAAAAAACATATCAAATGCTGTGTGCAGACCTTAACCCCAAGCCCTGAGCTGAGCCCAATTCCCGACATTGTCTTTAGCTTTGTGTAAGTTCAGCTTTACGCGCGCAGCTCTTTAGTAAAAATTCCAGTTAATCCGAGTTGGACAAAAACAAAAAGCAAATGAAGAGCGGCAGCGGGAGCTAAAAAACTGTATATATATGTGTGTGTATATATGTATTTGTGTATGTATATATATATATATTGTTTTGTTTATCTCAACGTGCTCATCACGCATCGTTTTGTGGTTTTACTTTAGTGCCGCCATAAAGGGTTAATGTTAATGATGCCTTTGTGGTGTGTGTCCGTCTCTCCATCTGTCTGTCTGTCTGTCTGCCTGTTTGTCTCACTGGCAGCCAGCCCTGCACTTGAGTGTTTTTTAAGTGCATGTCTATAAACGCAGACGCAGCGAATTATTACAGAGAGCAAAGCCAGAATCTGTGGCAAGTATATAAGATGCGATGTTTGCATTGATTTTGCCGTAACTCACGTGGTAATTGACATGTTTATGGTTTGAATGAGTGCTTTACTTTATAGAGATATAGACTGTAGTATGCCCACTGATATCCTATACTAATTATACAGCTATGCAGCGCTTGATGGTGTCATCAATCATTTGCAATGAGCCAACGCTGGGGCGATTGCAAAACTTCCGCCCCAATCTTTTGACCCGCATTGCCTCACACTTCCCCATACGTTGGCCGACGCATAAAACTTCAATTCAAAAGAAAAATGCGTCAATAAAAAGTAAACAAAAAAAAGCGAGAAAAACCTCAAACTAACAGAAAGAAATCACTAAACTTGTCTAGCCAGCTGGCAAATGCATTCAGTTCAGTTCAGTTCAGTTCAGTTGAGTTTAGTTTCTGTGCTTCTGCCCTTTGCTTGAACCGCCTTGTGAACCGGTTTGCGGTTTGCATTGAAATTGCATTTAATTAGTAAGGGGGACTAGAGGGAAAAGGGCAGCTATTAAACGGCTGCTCGTGCTGTGCTGCATATTCATGAAGCGATTCCGAACAGATTTTTCCCAAAACCCAAATCCGATATCTCTTAAAGCGCGCTAGCTGAACACTGAATATAAATATATATATATATATCTCTCAGATATGCAAAAACTTTACTCTTTATTTGTTTGGTATTTTGATGATGGCGACAACTGTTTGTGTCATAACATAAATTTGTTTTTGTTTTTGTTTTTCTTTTAGTTTTTAGTTTGACGCTTCAAAGATTTCGAATTTCGATTTTATAGACTCTCAGTCTTATCGCACTAATGAAGTTGTCTACTAAAGCTGAGCAATTAAACGAACACGCTGCAGAGTTCATAATAATCTCTGTAGTAGGAGAATGATGAAGAGGGAGAGGGTGAGAGAGGGAGGGCGTGAGGGAAGCCCTGGCAGTAGCTGCGGCAACTGAGGTTTAAGTGCGTGCAAAGCAGAGAAACTTCTCCCAATTGGGCAATAAAAGAACAGTTAAAGATACATTGACTAAGTAAAGAAGTGTCAAAAATAAAATAAAATATTTATACTTAGATGAAATCGTATTCGTATCATTATTCTTAGATCTAGAGATCAGTCTGAATTCTTTACATTTTATAAATTTTGTTGATCTTAAAACTTTTTCTTATCAATTTTTTCTTGTCTAAAAATTTGTATTTGATTTATGTAAATTTAATATATTAGCACTGAAACTCACCTTGCATGTTGTGGCCCAACGAAGCCCGTGTCGTGGGCTGAGCTAGCTGTGATTTGAGCATCTGTAATTGCGCCCGATTCCATGCCCAAAGGCACATTGCATGTAGCTGCAAAAAAAGAGAGGAAAAATAAAAAGAAATATTAGAAAATCTCAAAGAAACAACTTTAATTAATGATGGATGCGCTTTGCAGCTCGCATGGACCGCAGCGACGAGCTAAATGTAAATTTAGCTATGCCAAGTGGAGCTGAGGCAACGCCCATAAAATCTATCAAAATAAGTCAAGCGTCAATTTGACTTTTTTGACATTTGAACGAAGGAGATGGCGGCTGGATGTGGGCACGCCCAGTGCCATTTATGTCGGCTTTGACGGCCAGTGTATGTAGGTAGAGGTAGGGCCTATCACTTTCCCATACGGCTAGAGACTATCTGCTTTTTAAATAAGGCAAACACTTAATCATTGCCAAAGTCAAGCCAAGCCGGGCAGAACGTCAACTACTTTACTTAATTTATTGCCTACCGATTGCATTTTGCAGACCCCATCCCCAGCTGGCCCCAGCTCTAGCCAGCCTTTTGATGTGAATTGAAGTTGAGGCTGCAGCTGGAGCCCCCGCCGCCACCAACAGATGTCTAGCTGGCTGTCCGACTGGCTGACTGTCTGACTGCCTGCTGACATTTTCGCCAGAATCAACACTGATTTGACATGACTTTTGTTGCGCACAGGCACAGCATGGACCAGCTTCCAGTTACCAGCTCAATATACCGACTGCATTGGCTCCTGCCCAAGGTGCGTGCATTCGTTTAGAAGTTTATAAATAAACACACACACACACACACACACACAGAACCTGGACGAATCGCTCTTTGCATTCGCACTTGATTGCATTTGATAGCTGGCAATGCTAATGGGAACTGAAAGCTGCTCTGCAAAACTCTGAAAACTGAGGCTGGGCCGAGATCTAGGACCGAGTCGAGTCGAGTCGAGTCGAGTTGAGTCGAGTCGGCTGGGTTCGGGTCAGAAGCCATTGCGTTGCCTTCAACTGCATATTGCAAGTGTATTCATTTGGAAAATTGTTGCATGTTTTGCTAACTCAACTCAATGTGTCTGGCACAGCAACAACAACAAGAAGAACTTGGTGCAACTAAGGCACTTCCTCTTGCTTATTTGCTTATGTGTTTTTATTTTGGGCGAGGCGGAGGGGGTGTTAAGGGTCCAAAGTGCAAATATTGAAGGCAGTCTAGAAGCGAAGTAGTATTGCCTTCGAACATGTTTATAAATTCGTATTTATGTATTTGGCTTGCTTGATTAACTATAAATATTATGGCTTAGATTTGATTTACTAGACCAGAAGACAAAGGCAGCCAGAGACGCCTCTGTTTATGCAATACGACAGCTGAAAGTTGGCATGAAAACTTGAGGTCGACTCCAGGAAAATGTACATAAATAGCAGACGCAATAGAAAACTAGAAAACTGGGAAACTAGAAAACTTATTCGCAAAGCTCACAAGATAAACTATAAAATAAATTAAATTCATTTTCTTTCTCTCTCTCTTTACTTTTCATTTCAGATAGAACGGAGCGAAATTGATATGAAAATCTTGAGGTATGTAAAACGATTTAATTGACTCAATCAAAAATATATAAATGAATTTATAAAATATTTAATAACAACTTTTAAGAGCATAGTTTATAATAATAGTAGTGCGAATGAGCTGAAATTTAGTGAGAAATCATATTTTGAGGCAAGTTAAAATCTAAATATTTAATTAACATTTTTTTAATAATTGATATAGAAAACTGAACTGAAATTTAGTCAAATATTTTTTTATTTTATAAAAAAGTTTTTACCAGAAAATTTGTTAGAAAATTGTTTAATTTCTTCATTAATAATATTTTTGCTAATAAGATATTTTTATTATTAATATTAATAATATTATTACATTTTTATATGTGCTACACAAATTAACACTTTTATTTCAATGGCTCAACCTTTTAGCTTCTCTGCGAGTATAATCCATAGCTGCATTCTCCAAAATTATTTTCTTTTCTTGTCTGTACTAAATACATATGATATGTCCGTATGTATATGTGTATGTGTGTCTGTTTGTATGTGTATTTATGGCATTGTAATGCTAGCGCATTTGCGTCTTAGACGTTTGCTTTGAAAGTCTTCCCATGCCGCTTAGCTTTTGTTCAGTCCATCAGGCAGTCTTCACAATGTCCCCAGCGGCCTGTCCTCATATCAGCATAGAAATTTATGAGCCGCTGACATGCCAGGGCCATTCAAAGTGGCCATAATCCTAAGTTAGCAGCGACCCCAACTACCAGCTACCATTGCTACTACCACAGTATGGCTTCATTAAGCAACGGCAACTACTGTGTGTGCGTGTGTGTTTGTATTGGAAATTTCTGCACAAAAGTTTAGAGGCTGCATAAAAATGTCCATATGCCAATTAATGAGCAGGAGAGAGAGAGCTTGGGCTGGGACTGGGGCTGGGGCTGGGGCTGAGTCTGTGCCTTGTCAGATGGACGCCCCATGGCGAGCTGGCCAGAAGCCACCAACTGTGCCGCCTGTCGCTGCCCCAGAGAATGATGAGCCACATAAAAATGTGCTTTCAATGTCAATTAAAATACATTTTGCTTGAACTGCAGCAATTCCCCGTCCAAGCCCAGTCCAAGTGCCATTTGAATCAAATGAAAATAAAGCCATTTTCGACTTTAATGATGCCAGCAGCGGCAAATTGATAAATGTGCGCACCTTTTGGCTGGCCAGAGCCAAGAGTTCACTTAGTTTGATTTGTCAGATAAAACGATTCGACGTCTACTCACCAATATCGAAAGCAGCAATTGCTGGCGTATTGAGCATTAAACAGCCGCTGGCAATGATCAATGCCAAGAGGCTAAGGTTCCAGTTGCCATTGCCATTCCAGTTTCTTGTCGGCCGAACGCGACTCTGGTCTGATATCGATGACAATGATGATGGGGATGTGATTGTTGTTGGTATTGAGCGGGAATAGCTAGAGCGTGGGGAGCTGGAAAGGCACTGGCGGGAGAACATTTTGTAGCTAGATTTGTTTAAACTCTTTGCTGATAAACTGTGCGTCATTCTGCTGCGAAAAATTGATAATGGATTGATATTGGCCTAGAGATCTGCAAGAGAGGAAAGAAGAGAATTATGTATTAGTATTTAATATTTTATTTTAAATATAAATATGGTTTATTTTAAAAATAAATTTCAATATAAATTGCTTATAGTTTGTTCTAATAATGTTCTTCTGTTTATTGCCTAAATACACGCAGTCAAAACAAATTATTTTGCCTTTCTATGCAATTCTCAACAAACAAATTCTATATAAACTCCTTTCTTTTTACTTGAATTTCTGTAAAAAAATCATATTTCCATTACAATGATTGGTTAAGAAAAAACCCATTTGCGCCCTTCTCTGCAATTCTCAAAGCCTGTCTAATTGCATTTGTAGCTTGATTAGATGTTCCTGACAGTTGCCAACTTTATCTCAAGCTCGTAAACAATGGCAGCTCATTTCAGCCAAGCGCCTTTCTATGCGCTTCTCATCGCCAACGCACACTCATTCAGTTTACGTATGCGCGGCTCTCGGTGCAAGCCGCTTTCGCTTCTAATTAGTTTTGCTTAGGGTAGTCGCCGACGCCGCCCACATCGCAACTCATTAAAATTAAAAGACATCAAAAGAAATTTGCAAACTAAACACAAACATAGAGGCGGCAGCAGCAGCTGTTGGACTGCGCCTAGAATGTCCTTTTGCAGGTCCTGCGACTAGCTGAGCTTGGCACGTTCGCTCATCTGCTGTCGCCTTTTGTGCTACCTTTTGCCCTTTTTTCTAGCTTTTTATATATATTTTGTGCGGCACGCTTTGCATAAACTAAATAAATTTCTTGGCCGCCCGCCTTACGGCCATGTCATAAAGTGGGCTGACTTGGATTTTGGTCCGTCCACAGCTTTTGGAGGCGGGTCTGGGCAGGGTGTCTGTTGGCAGTGCAGCTTCTGCTTTAAATTGCTGCGCCAGCTGACGGGTTGGGGTCTATGATGCGGCTGCTTCTTCTTCAACTGTAAGCCAGCGTTAAATTAAAGCGGAAACTGGCTTGTGCCGTCCTGCTCTGAGGAGAGATGGAGTGCTCGCCTGTGACTAGGCAGTCAACATGTTTGCTTTTGGCCGCTTTCTATGGCTCACATATCTCTGCCCCAACTGCTGCGTCTCCGGCTCTGGCAAAATTGTTGCAAAATAATGTTAAATGAAAAGCACAAAGTCATTCAGGCAGCCACACAGCGTCAGAGCGAGCGAGTGGACGGGCGGCATTAGGTGGGCTGGCATGGGCACTCGCACATACCGCCGCATCCGCTGACGACGTGTCGTTCCCCTCTGCGGCTACACTTTTTGCTGGCCGGCTTCCTCCGCGTCATCGTCACGCACATTCACTTTGCATTCATTCAACTCGAAGGCGAAGTCGTAGTTGTAGTCGTGGCTGAAGTCGAAGTCGCAGTGGAAGCCTCTGTCGAAGACGTTGTTGTTGTTTCGGCTTTTTAGCAGCAATTGAGTTTGAGATTCATTCACAGTTAAAGCCAAATGATGCGATAACCAAACGTGCTTTCTAATTCCGCAGACAGCCACAGATTGCACAGAGAACCATTCAGACAGCCAACTGAAGTTAAGAGTCAGTTAAAGCTCAAAACTTGACTACTCAAGTGACTGCTATTTTTCTATATAGCAGAGCTCTGCAGCTACCTATGATAGGTGCCTTTTCGACAGAAAGAGAGACCTACCTGAAGGTATATTTTAAAGCTTATGGATAGCTCTTAAGGTTCTAAGATTTTGAAATGGACTTGGCTTAAGGGAAAATTCTCTCTTGTTCTATCTGGTTCCATTGGACTTTCCTTCTCTGAGCAAGTCAAACTTTTCTTCATGCATTTAGACATTTTCCTTTATAGCTTTTCTTCCTTTCTTCCGTAAAGTCATCCATCTTTCGAGCTGCCTCCTGTAATATTACCAAAACTTTACTTTGGCATATTTATTTTTGCATTCCTCGATAGCTAACGAGATCCTCGGCTCAATTTACGTGTAGCCAATGGCCACGCTGTGCTCCTCCTTCGCTGATGTTTATCTAACAAATGTGTCCATTCTGGCTGGCAGAGCTGGCAACCTGAGCAACCTTATCGACTGCCTGATGACTCCTCCACGGCCAGCAAAATATATCCCCACCAAGTGCATGCATGCAAAAAATGGGAAATGGGCAACGTCATGTGGCAATTTGTCACGCCGAGGCAGCTGCTGTTGCTGCAGCAGATACAGCAACACCCGCTCCGAGACGACTCTGCGTGTGTGTTGGTTTTTCCCTTGACTCTTGTCAATAACTCAGCGCTTAATTGCTCATCTTTCAACGTCGCAGGGCGCAGGTACTTCGCCTCGGCCCTAGCGGCAGCCTTTGACGCTCGACGCAGCCGAAACAAATTAGAAAATTCTCAACTGCAGCAGGGAAAGACATAAGGAAGAACGCTGCCTTCAAGCGTAACCAACTGTGTAATGCCTGTTTACAGCTAAGAGTGGAATCAGTTTTAGTTAAACAGAGAGGTTTTTTTTATCGAGATCGGCCTTGACTGAAGAGATTATCGAAAGTTGTGCCTGAACTCTGTATACTTTTAGGTTTTTATTACAGTTAAAGTTACCAGATGTAGATCTGGTCTACTATATGTTGATCTGATCTTCTATATGCTGATAATATGTTGCGCTAACTCTTAAGTTGTAGCAGCTAGAACTTCTCTTAGCTTACAAATTTCAAGTCAATTTAATAAACTGCAATCGATCTTAGATGATGAAAATTCTAGATTTTTAGAGTTGCCAAATAATTCTAAGACTCAATCAGATAAAAGTAAAAAAATCTGTTTAGTTCTGGCAGCTCTCAATATTTTTTATAGATTTTAACCTAAAGTAAGCCAAAGCTAAAAAATAATACAGAAATATAAAAATTACAGTCTGCAGATGGCGACTCCATGAAGCCAATAAACTCTTTTGGCCTCGTAAATGCGCTGCTTGACAAATGCTGCCTGTCATAGTTTTAACTGGCTGTGCTTCATATGCGCCAGAGCAGCCAGCGCAGCCGCAACGATGCACTGAAATAGCGATCTACGAATGCAGCGATCTAGGTATCCGGCAGCCGCCTGCTGCTTGCTGCTTGCTGCCCGCTGCCTGCCACACAATGTAGGTTAAATTAATAGTGACACTCGCTCTGGAGCGAGAGGAGCGCGTGGCAATGCCTTCTGGTTAGCCAGTTGGACGTTGTTGCACCTGGCGGCGCTTTGAGCGCTCTGAGTGCTGCGGGCTGATGCTTGCCACGTTTTGTGGCAAATACGCGGCGCGCTGTTTGTTTTTTATTTTTCGTTGCAGCGCGCGAATATTTCATAAATTGAAATGTACAGTTAGTTAATTACACGCTCAATTGGCTCTAAAAGTGGCATTAGGCCAGGCGTTCGGACCCGAGTGGCTGCTGGCAGAACCAGCCTAGCAATTTGAGCTCAGCGAGTGCATTTTTAATGGTTGTCATAAAAGATTTATCGCCCAATGGTCAGCCAACTTTAGCGCATAGAGGCGTCAGCCGCATATACTCTACGTACACATGTATATAAAGTCAATTCACAGTTGGCCTGTCGATGAAATTGTGATATAATAGCCGCTTGCAAAACCAGCTGCAGCAGCGCAATCAGCGGGAAAGGGTCATGGTTCGATGGAAACTAAATTACTTTTAGATTTTGCAATAATCAGGAACTTAAGATGGATAGAAGTATATTTATATACGGTTGAAGTAGTGCTCTAGTGGAGTATGCCTAACTGGGATATACCCTAACCTACTTCTGGAGTGAGAATAGCTCAGCATAGAAATTTGGAACAGTTTTTCCTGAAACTTATGAATCTAGTTAAATGTGAAGAGTTGAAAAAGTAGAGAGCTCCAAACTTGCATATACCCTGCCCAAATTTTAGAGTAAATATAGTAAGGACTAGCATAAAAATTTTAAAGAGTTTTTGCCGATTCGTCTATGAAACTAATGAATCTAGATATACATATATGAATATATTATTATAATATATATTTATAATATATTATTATAATATTATAAAGGAGAATGCCCAACTTGCATGTACCCTGCCCAACTTCTAAAGTTAATTTATTATATTATCGTACAATAAATCTTAGCATAGAAATGTGCAATTAATAAATCTAGATCAGATTTATCATCAGAGTGGGGAATGCCCGACTTACCCAAACCAACTGCTGGGCTGGAGCTGAGTCTGTTCCTTTACAGCTCCTGCACATTTGAATAAATGTTATACAAATTATCCCAGCCATATAAAATTTTAGAGTATCCAACTAGACGTACATAGCAAAGCAGCAGGAATGACTGAGTTATCTTAAAGAGAAATAATTGAAATTTGTACTCAAGGAAAGGCTAAATGTCTACAGCTGTTCGACACTTAAAGTCAAGCTAAAGACAAGTTGAAAAGGCTCTAGAGCTCTAGAACTTCCGCCATTTCCTTTCTATATACTTTCTGGTATATCTTCCAAGAAGTAAAGGAAGCACAGAAGTTAAATTTAAGAATACGATTTCTAATTTTAGCTCCTTTTCAGCTAAATTTGATCTTTCTTTAACAGTTTGCTAGAAATCTCAATTACCTTTTCACATGTTCTCTATCAAATTTCATTTTCCTTTCATAAAACGCCCCAATTTAGTCATTTAAAAATCTAGCTAACTAGACACAGCTCATCAATCAAAAGAGTTTTCATTTGAAATGTCAACACACGCACACACACACACACACACCTCACGGCTAAATCTGTGTGTGTCTCTGTTAAGAATTAAACAAATTGCGTACCCGCGTGCTGAAAATTTAAACATCAAACTGTGTTTTGGGCTGACTTCCTGATTAACTCGAAAATAGAAGACAGCAACAACAATTGAAAAATGCCCGCAACGAAAATGCCAACGAACCAAATTGATTAATTGATGAAACGCAGCGCAGTTTTCATGGAAAAAAGAGAAGAGAAAAAAAACGCATTTCTAAAGTAGAACACATCAATGAAGCTGGCATGAGAGACAGAGACTGACATATAGAATGTGTGCGTAT